TTTCTATAAATTTGGTTTTATTATGTAAAAATAGTATTGATGGCATGTTATGCAGTGAAGCTGGTAAAGATGCTCACTAAACATTGTTACCAGTCTTATCTGTAATTTGTGCATTTTGGAGTGACGTACAAAGTGCTCAGCTCAAGTGACAAACTAAATGTCCATGCAGTTATAGGCATGTTTTTCACACTGCACATGTAGTTTTTGAAACAGGAGCTCAAAAGTCATGAGGCTGCAGATAGTTTGTGGATGGTTTGGCTAATTTTGGAAAAATCCATTCCAAGCACAGTAGTAGATCTTCATGGACATGTCACAACTTTTTTGGCTTGGGAGACGAAGTATACAGTCATGGCCGAAATTGTTGGCACCCAATCAGTTTTAATTTTGCCTGAAAATCAAGTTTTTTCACACAGCAAAAAGGTATTGCATTAACACATGATCGTTTTGCTATACACATGTTTCTTCCCTCCCTGTATGTATTGAACAAATATAAAACAGAGGCAGAAAAGCTTAACTGTTTTGCATGTATTGGAAATGTCACACAAAACCCCAAAAATGGGCTGGACAAAAGTATTGGAACCCTTAACTTAATATTGGTTGCACACCCTTTGGTAAAAACATAGACTGAAATCGCCTGTCGCTTTCCTATAACCATCATCAAAGCTTTTCTGACACCTCTCACCAAAAAATTTTGGACCACTCTTCTTTGCAAACAGCTCCAGGTCTCTCTTATTGGAAGGACACCTTTTACCCATTAACAGCAATTTTAAGATCTCTGCCCCACAGGTGTTCAATGGGATTTAAGATCTGGGCTCATTGCTGGCCACTTCAGAACTCTCCAGCGCTTCTTTGCCATCCATTTCTGAGTGCTTTTTGACGTATGTTTGGGGGTCATTGTCCTGCTGGAAGACCCAGGATCTTGGACGCAATTCCCCCAGCTTTCTGACACTGGGCCCTACAGTGACGACCCAAAATCCTTTGGTAATCCTCAGATTTCATGATGCCTTGCACACAGTCAAGGCACCCAGTGCAGAGGCAGCAAAACAACCCCAAAACATCATTGAACCTCCACCATATTTTACCGTAGGTACTGTGTTTTGTTCTTTGTAGGCCTCATTCCGTTTTCGGTAAACAGTAGAATGATGTGCTTTACCGAAAAGCTCTATCTTGGTCTCATCTGTCCACAAGAACGTCGTTTTCCCAGAAGGCTTTTGGCTTACTCAAGTACATTTTGGCAAAATGTAGTCTTGCTTTTTTATGTCTCTGTGTCAGCAGTGGGGTCCTCCTGGGTCTCCTGCCATAGCGTTTCATTTCATTTAAATGTCGACGGATAGTTTGCGCTGACACTGATGCTCCCTGAGCCTGCAGGACAGCTTGAATGTCTTTGGAACATGTTTGGGGCTGCTTATCCACCATCCGGACTATTCTGCGTTGCAATCTTTCATCAATTTTCCTCATCCGTCCACGACCAGGGAGATTAGCTACAGTGCCATGGGTTGCAAACTTCTTGATAATGTTGCGCACTGTGGACAAAGGCAAATCTAGTTCTCTGGAGATGGACTTGTAACCTTGAGATTGTTGATATTTTGCCACAATTTTGGTTCTCAGGTCCTCAGACAGTTCTCGTCTCCTCTTTCTGTTGTCCATGCTTAGTGGTGGCACAGACAGACACACAATGCAAAGGTTAAGTGAACAGTCTCTCCTTTTATCTGCTTTCAGGTGTGATTTCTATATTGCCACACCTGTTACTTGCCCAGGTGAGTTTACAGGAGCATCACATGCTTGTAACATTCTTATTTATCCGCAGTTGTGAAGGGTGCCAATACTTTTGTCCAGCCCATTTTTGGAGGTTTGTGTGACATTATGTCGAATTTGCTTTCTTTCCTCCCTTTTTTTTGTTTTGTCCCAATACACACAAAGGGAATAAACATGTGTATAGCAAAACATGTGTTAATGCAATACGTTTCGTGAGAAATACATGATTTCCTGGGAGAAATATCAAGGGTGCCAACAATTTCGGCCATGACTGTAAATCAATCCCAGAGAGCAGCCAATCAGTTTTAATCTTGCCTTTATTATTGCGCTCATTATTTTCTTTCACAAGACCCAGCAAAGCAATGTTCATGCGATCAGTGGATCGTGGGTGCAAATCCAGGCTCTTCTCCAGCTCCCTGCCCATAGAGAGGTGCTTTTTATATAAAGGGAAACAAATGGCCTTAACTGTTTTGCATGTGTATTGGAAATATTCATTTTGCACATGCGCTAGGATGAAGTGATGCATTATACCTTTCTACAGTGAACATGCAATGAATCCAGAGATCTGCTGTCCATAGTTTTACTGGTATCATCAAAGAGCAGTAAGAATGTCGCCCCACCGCCTGTACGCCTTTCAGCATTTGGAGGGAAGCTGAGCACTTTTGTGAAGGGCACCCCTACCAAAAAACCCTTTTTGGACACTGCTGATCAGTGGGACTTATGTGCAACCTTCTTTTCAAGGAGGCGAGGTTTCCTACCTCATTAACAGGTACAAATGTTCTTCAGATCCCTTGCCCATTCACCAGCGGGTGTTGGTAATAGGAGTTTAAATATTTAAACATTTTCAGTGCATCTTAACCTGTTGCAGCCCATGTAACACATGTGTGGCAGCAAAAGGGTAGACTTTAACACCAAAACGCCGCACATATGGGTATCTGATTTTAAGGTCACTCTGCAGAGAGAGCCTCGCTGCCTGCTCCCAGCACAGAGACTGAGCTGTCAAGACAGCTCTCATTCCCCACTAACAGTAGCCAGCGGGACTGGCACCTGATCATGTGACCATCGTGACATCTAATCACAGTGTAATTGTAATATTCCCAATGTACACACTCCTTGAATTGGCTGTTTTGTGTCAGTGGGTGCTGCAGTGACAATCAGCTAGAAACTGTAGACATTCAAAGCTGAAAATATGTCACCAGCACACCAAGGATTCTTCAAATAGGTCCAAAGCTTTATTCAGCAGTCACAGCATATTTACAAAGGCAATATTTGGAGCCGCACAGGGCCATTTCTTCAAGTCACTTGCCTGATGAAGGGGGCTCTTCTAGTGACTTATTTTAAGTTAATCACAATGATCACATGAACTACATCATTCCTTCCCCCTAGGCATTCAAGACCTTTCAAAGGCATGCTGGTTCAGGCAGAAATGGATTTAAAATTTTAAACCTCCAAATGTCCTGATGAAGCAGCAAAGGCTGCAGCACATTCTCAGGTTGTGAAGGTAGGGAATCCATGGGGACATTACAGACAACAGGTTTTAGCCATTTATTGCTCTGTCCAGTCTAAAGTAAATTTTATTTGGAGTTGGGCTTTAGGTTTGAAAGTTTGCAGGTTTTGTGTAAAAATTAAATGCTCTTTTATATTGGCTTGTAAATTTAATTTACTGGCCCTTTTAATAAGAAGTCAAATGTGTATTTCCAATGTGCTCTGTTTTATAGTATTTTGTTTCAAAATGTTTTTTTATATTTTATTCTCTATCCATCCTTAGCGACTGAAATACCAGTATGACATGTGGTGTGTGCGTTTTTTTGTTTTGTTATCTGATAATGAGCTTTTTTGGCTTAAGCATTATACGGACAAGTAGCATTTTCATCCGAAGTGACACATTAGCCCTGTTGCATTTTTAACCTACTTCAGAAGCTCAAACTGTTTGTACAGCACAGTGCTTTGTGGTGGACGCTCTTTTTCATGGGTTGCAGAATTAGCCTCCAGATATCCTCAGAGCTGAAGATTCGAGTGGGTTACAGCTGTCATCCCCCAGAGTATTTTAACAGAACTAATGAGATGAGAAGTGTACAGCTGGTGGCAAACAAAATAAACCACAAGCCATAGGCTCGCCTACAGTGGCTTCGCTTTCCCTGTGGGATCCTGAAGGAGATTGCATGCTAACAAAGCCAGAAGGCTGTCTCCTTCCACACTATTGCTCATTTGCAGCTGTAATTGGGAGATAGGCATTGTATTGCTGTGCTGGATTGTGTTTTACTGTAGCATATTTTCTATTTTTAATCAAAGTGCAGGAAGTTGTATAAAAATAAGAACATTCAAAAGCATTTTATTTAAACACTGTTATGGGGTTTTTGTGAATAATTATGGGGGTGAGCTAATGGCCTTGTGCATGCTACTTTTAAGTAACTATTTTTATGAAAATTAATATTTTAATTATTTGCAGTCCTCATTTTTTTTGTTGTGAACCAGGGGCGGACTGACCATTCAAGCACTCGGGCACTGCCTGAGGGCCCGGGGTCAGTAGGGAGCCCCATGAGATGCCCCTGGTACCTTTCATTGGCTTTATCATAGGCTTTTTTGGGTGTGGGCGAGGACACGGGCCCCATAATCCTGTATTGCCCGGGGGCCCCATGAGTTGTCAGTCCACCCCTGTTGTGAACATTTATGGTACTGTCACATTGTCATCTTTTTGAGCCCGCTGAGAGACTGACCCAGGTGCCACTCCAGACTTTGGGATAAAGTTGGGATCTTTCCCCAGCCTGAACCGGCTGAGTGACGACAGTCGACAGCTTTCCACTGAAAATGGGTCACAGGAGTGCAGAACAAACTGCACTCCTGGGATCCACAGGAGAAGTGCAGCCAACAGAGTTTTGGCTGTATTTCTCCTTTTAATCCAGTTATTTTAGGGGGTGGGGTTGCCATGGCAGCCAGTTACATATAATTCTCCCGTCCTATTATCCTTGGTAAGTGTGTTTATATGTATATAACTGACATAAATGTATATATGTAAATGTCCTTGCTGCTGTTTTTTGACTGCCTGCTCTGGGCAATAGCTCAGCCTTTTCGTTTCAGTTTTCATAAATCCAGAAGAGTCAAAGAAACCTCATGCTTTACTAAGACAAAGTGGAAGTCTCTCTGTCGTGTACATAAAAAGCTGTTTTGTTTTCTCCTTAAACCTCAGATTCTTTTCTATGGAACGTGCAACTTAACTTTAGTACTGTACTACGCTTGTTTTACAGGATTACAGAGCAGATGAAGACCCTGCACTGTTTCAGTCTATTGAAACAAAAAGGGGACCCCTGGGACCCAATTGGAAGGTAATTGGTCGCTTTTTTGCCTTTCCATATATAATATACCATGTCAAAGTAGAGGTGTGTATGTATACTAGGTGTGGAACCATATTGAATCTCCCATTTAAAGATTCTATAACAAAACCCTTATTGATGTCTAATGCATGTATGTTTGTATATTATCTATCCTACAGTATTTTCACACCCTGGAAGTCCTTTTTTTTTTTTTTTTTTTTTTTTAATGTGGCCTGACTGATGAGCAATGAGGATGCCAAAATGAATACAGAAGGGATGTGTCTGGAACCACCATTTTCTGAGATGCCTAAACTTTAGGTTGCTCACTGGAGATCTAGATGAGCAGGAGGCATACTGAAGTCCTGCTGGGACGCAAGCTACTTTTAAAGGATAAGTTCACCTTTCATAACATGTTACATCCATTTTCAGGGTGTAACATGTTATGAATAAACTGACCCCCGCTTGATAGCTAGCAAGGGATCATCTCTCCCCGCACTAGCTGTCAAATTTAAAAAAATAAAAAATGCCTGTCTGGTTGCGTCACTCATTCACAGTGCTCTGTGAATGAGAAACTTCAAGTCCTGACAGCCTTACGGCTGTTGCTTTGTAGTTGTCAATGAACTACCATGGTGCTGTGGAGCATCGTGGTAGTTCATTGAATCTTCTTGTCAATATATCTGCTTCCTCATACATCCCGTTCGGGCAAGCAGATATACTGACAGATCTGCAAGAGACCTGCATGACACCAGCAACCTGCTTCTTTACAGGCTCCTGCAACCAAAAATAATAAATGCATAGTTTTTGTTACCTGAAAAAAATGTGCATTTATTATTTTCGGTAAAAAGGTGAAATTATCTTTTAAACTGGCTGTCTATTAGGCATTTATAGTGGCAAGAACAGGCATATCCATTAGTATATTTCCCTAGTACCAGCTGGAGAATTGAAAAATGCCATTTCAGATATTACATTTAGAGTGGTAAATTACATGAATGTTACACTGAACCTTTGCCTTCATTTATTGCATGCTTGTCCCTAGTCAATGGCTATAAAAACACTGAAATTAATTTTGCCAGGTAATTTGGTAGTCCACTTATTTTCTCTTGACAGGTACCCCTTATCAATCCCTAAACATTAGCATCAGTACTTTGTTAGTGACCCAGAACGAGCATGCAGAAAAAGGAAAGCTTATGTATGACTTTCAAGGTGAATGACTTACATGCAGATCAGGAAAGTGTTGATAGCAGAGATGACTAGGCATCTAGATTTTTCAGAAGTACAGTCAGGTCCATAAATATTGGGACATCGACACAATTCTAACATTTTTGGCTCTACACCACCACAATGGGTTTGAAATAAAACAAACAAAATGTGCTTTAACTGCAGACTGTCAGCTTTAATTTGAGGTTATTTACATCCAAATCAGGTGAACAGTGTAGGAATTACAACAGTTTGCATATGTGCCTCCCACTTGTTAAGGGACCAAAAGTAATGGGACAGAATAATAATCATAAAATCAAACTTTCACTTTTTAATACTTGGTTGCAAATCCTTGTACTTTAATGAACTTTAAAAGTGATATCAAAGGCTTTGTTTTCTTTTTAAATAATGGACACATCATACTTACCTGCTGTGTGCAGTGGTTTTGCACAGAGCAGCCCAGATCCTCTTTTTCTCGGGTTCCCCACTGGTGCTCCTGGCCCCTCCCTTCTGTTGGGTGACCCCAAAGCAAGCAGCATATGCTATGGTGGCACCCGCTGCTCTGTGTGTCCATTCACACACAGAGCCTTGGCTTGGCCCATGCCCCGGCCCCGTCTCTGTTCTTATTGGCTCACTTGCTGTGATTGACAGCAGCAGAAACCAATGGATCCTGCTGCTGTCTGAGCCAATGAGGTGTCCCAGGATTGCCAAGACTCCAGTGCACAACGCTGGATCAAGAGGGGGCTTAGGTGAATATCTGGGGGGGGGGCTGCTGCACAGAGAAGGTTTTTTTACCTTCATGCATAGAATGCATGAAGCTAAAAAAATTTCAGCCTTTACAACCACTTTAATGTGGAAAAAGTTGCTGACCCTGCTATAGCCCATCAAAGCTGAACTTATGTATTCAGAGATGTCCCTTGTTTGTATAGCGTGGTTATTTGAGCAGTTAATAGACTTCCTGTGTGTTTGAACACATCGATTTTGTTAAGGGGTTTGGTCCACCCTCACTGGATGATTTCTGCTTCTCAATCCATTCTCTGTACAATCTAGGAGTTTCAGTTCCTAAAATCCTAGGAGGGAAGCAGTACCACAGTGCCGATCATTCTAGCCAAAACTACTTAAACCATCTTCCCTTGCTGTTTGGCCAAAGTAAAACTCTTACCATGTCTGTATGCATTATCTACGGAGCCGTATGATTTGCTTTTGGACTATTAGAAGGTGTATCTAATACATTGGCCACTGAATGTTGATTACAAATAGATAAAAAGGTGTATCCGTTTAAAAAGGTTAAAAATCCTAACTAGCAAAAATTAAGTATATTACCGATTCCGGCAGATATATTGGGGTGCTTGAGACAACACCATGTTTGAGGGAGACGTCCTTCTTTGAAAGCAGTCTTAGACTAGTTCTACCTGTTATAGATTCCTTTACTTTGCTGCCACCTACTGAAAATCTGCCTGTAGCTGTACAGGCTGCACACATAACACACACTAGTGGCAGAATAGCATTTTGGAAGATGTCATTGCTGACTTGCAGTTGAGGGTAGAAACTGAAGCTGTCATTCATTCTTAATTTTCACCTTAAAAAGTCACTGAACCAGACCAAGTGTGGAAGTTCTGATATTACTGGCAGCATCCTTGTTCAGGGGCATTGTCCCGCTAAGTAGTGAAGCAATGATTAGAACACTTTCACATTGGGCTTTCTAAACACTCATCTACTTCTGAGTCTATCTAGGTCCAAATAAAAAATAAATGTTAAAGAACTGCTTCCTTTTCTGTTTTTCTGGACCTAAATGTGATGGATTGGAGGTAGACTGATATAAAAGGGGCACCAGTGAATTTACATCCAGCATCCCATAGATCCAACACTGGTCTCCTACAGTCCACTGTCAAAATGTGGACTGAGACTGAACAGGCACAGATGTCACAAAACCGAATAAGCCGGTGATCTGTTCAGATTCCCTGCTGAACAGAGCTGGCAAAACCTGAAAGAACCCTGTGTGTGACGGCCCTAGAACTGCTTTCAAAATCAGCTTGGCATTTACCTCTCCCTTGTTTCTCCCTTGCCTGGTTTCCATTTGTGGATATGAGTTTATTGATGCACAAGGATGTACAATCTTATTACCTATGAAACATACTGGTTTTAAACTTACCATAAGTATGCTCTAAAGAGAGAAATGTGCACTGCCATTGCTGGAGAGCTTTTGCAAAGGATGGAGGCAGATGCTCTGGATCCTCATCTAGGAGAGAAAGCTGCAGGGATTTGAAATCCCTGCGGCTTTCTCGCCTCTCCTACAGCTGGCAATCTGGAGCATCTGCCTCCATCCTTCGATAACCGACACCAAGGTATACATCCCCACACGCCCTTCTCTCCCACTCTCCGCTCAGCAAGGGATTGGTGCAGGGAGGTTTCCCGCACTGCTCCTGTGTGAACTCAGGCTATGACAGACCTGGGTTCATACAGGAGCAATGGGGAAACCACATGCAATTTGGACAGGAATCGCATTCCTGTTAAAGTCTCATGCTGTTCTTTGCAGTGAGGTTTGCGTCCACACATTTTGTAAAGTGTCGGTACTCGGAATTGCCAGGTACTTGACCGATAGCATCAGTATTTGTACTCGCTGCTCAAAAAGTGGTATTGGTGCATCTCTAGTTAGAACTCTATACTTTGTTTCAGGTCAGACACTCAGGGAATATTGAAATCAAAGCATCAGCATGATAGCCAGGGAACTGCCATTTTCAGAAGAAGAATTCAGCAGTGTCAGCCTACAGATTTCTCTTAGAACATGCGTTTTCTGTAGTTCACTTTCATGAATTTTTTTTATACTGCCTTGTCCTGTTGGACTCAGAATGATACCTGGCCTCTTTATCATACTGCTGTGCAACTGCTCTTTTTACGTACTTCCAATATAATTTAAGTTTAGTAAAAAGATGTCCAACACAGTATAGGCATGTGAAATGTACTACTTATTACTGCATGCACCACAAATCTCCTAAAAATGTTAGTTGATTGGCTTTCATGCTATTATATAGGCTTTAGTCATTTTTGCATTCCTGACCCAGTTCAAGTATGGAGATCAAAAGCTAAGACTTTACCTGTCGTGTCTGTCATTTTCTTAATCATACATCAAAGGACACAGAGGATTTTGTATACATGACTACTTGGGTTATGCTGCCACCTTTGGGTGAACAGACACTGGCCCAAGAAAGGCAGGAATCCCCACGCTTGTGTAAAACCTCTAAGCTTAGTTAAGCCTCAAGTTTCGATGGTGTCCTTAGGTGATGGATGCCTCTCTGTGTCTTTTTGGCTGGCATAGCTCCCCTAATTGCTGGTATGTCCCTAACACCTCTGAATGGTTACAAAGTGGGATCCTGATTGGTCGCTTTGACCTGATGGATAAGAGGGACTGTACCCAGATGCTGCATACTAGAGCAGGGAAGGTCTGTGATGTCTATCAATCAGCCCTGGATCTTGTTGTCATTGATCTCTGGAGAATGCCTGAAGGTCCTCGCAACAGTCAGGATGCTTCTTGATTCACTCTTTCTAGGTAGATTCCATCAGCTCATTTCTCAAGTCCAGGCAAGGTTCTTTCTTTGTTAAGGCTCATTCCACCGGTAGTGTCAGTGCTTCCTTGGCTATTCAGTATCACTTTTCTGTTCTAGTTTGTAAGGCTGCTGCCTTCACTGTTCTGGTTTGTAAGGCTGCTACTTTACCAAGTGCTGCCAGTTAAATGTTTATGCCTCTGCAAATGCAAGCTTTGGCTGAAAGGTCTTGCAGGTGGCTTTGTAGTTGGATTTCCCCTGTTCTGTTACAGGATTTTGGATGTTTTGGCTTTTCTTGCTGTGTTGCCCTTCCCTCATGTTCAGTGCTTTTGGACATCCCAAATAATGAGAGCCCTCTGTGTCCTGTGATGTGCTTAAAGTAAATCATTTTTACAGGTAACCCAAAAATCCTAATTTCTCAGTTAAGCTATCATTTAATCCTGGTGAAATTACAATTCTTAAACTTTTTTGCAGAAAGAATTGGCAAACTCTGAGGACTGTCCACGCATGTGTGCTTATAAACTAGTAACAATCAAGTTTAGATGGTGGGGACTTCAAAATAAAATAGAAAATTTTATTCAGAAGGTAAGTTGCGTTTTCTACCTCTTTATACATTCTTAGTGATATTGGTTTTTTTTTTGGAGATAGTACAGCCAACTGGGGTCTTGTAATTTCTGCACGTATGGCAATTAAAATGTAGTTTGATTTGTACTGCTTAGGTCTCAGGGTTTATAAGAATAATCTTTGACATATACATTGAAAGGGGTTTACTGAAACTGGTGCACAACCCCCCCCAGATAGCTGGAAAATACCAGAATTTCATACACTTTCACCTCTTTGTACCAAGGCGCAGTTAGATAAGGAATGTTTTCATAAGAAACAGTAAAAAATAATAATTGACACTTAGCAGCAGAGTTCTTTGTGTGGAGGAGGAGTCGGTGATAATATTGGATCTAATATGACAGCATTCTTAGCCTATTGACCTGAAAAAGAGTCCATTACAACACCGTGTTATATATGTTAGAAGAGGTCTGGCAGTTTGTGGTGAGGGTAGGAGATAATGTCTTATGTTATCTAATAGTGGAATGTCAATCGCATTTTTCGAAATACTCTCATTCTTTACCACAAACTGCTACTTTAGACACTAGTGAGTTAAAAATGACCCTTTTTGGGGTTTTTTCCTGTCCCATCTAGCCATACAAGTTTAAGATTTTTCATTCAGTTGTGTGAGCTGAAAAAGAGCAATCCAAAGGTTCCCCATATTTGTTGGCTTTTGTATTCTGATTGCTTGTGCTCCCAGAATAACCAAACACTGACTGCACCTGGTTGCTGTTGCTGTTCAGGTGAGGATTTTCCTCCCAGCTCCTTAGATTTTCAGATCGAGCTTTGTTAAGTTGGGTAGTGCCGATGGTGCCACCTTTTACTCAAATTTAAGCCGATTCAGTGGAAATGGGCCAAAATTCAAACCGTATATGGTTAAAAGAAATGTATCTGTTTTTGGAGGCTGATGAAAACTTTGTTGCATCCTTTTGCTTGTCACAACTTTGATAATCCCTAGATAGCTGTGAAACTGTAAATATCAACTTTACCTTCAGATGTCCCATTCATAGCAGCAGGGTGTGCCCAAACACAAGAACATCCATCCCTTCCTTTTCCAATTTTTTTTTTTTTTTTCTCAGTTGACAGTTCACCATCCTAGCACAGCACAGTTGGTTGTTAGACAAAAGGAAGCCAATTGGGAAATGTGCAATGAAGTCATTGAATCCAGACAGATTTGTAAAGGTAAAGTTGATTTTTACAGCGTTTTCATGGCTGCTATAGCTATGGAGCTGTGACATCCGAAAGAGAGCAATTAAAGTGGTTCTTCACCCTGGAAACAAAAAATTAAAAGTCAACAGCTACAAATATTGTATAATAGGACACTTACCTGGTCAAGGATCCATCGTGGTCCTCACTAGAGCCAGATCTTTAGATGTCCGGTGCCAGCAGCTTTACTTTAGGAAGCCGGTTGTGACTACTTTTGGCTTCAAAGCCAGCTTCCCACTGTGCATGCGTGGGCTGTACTGCAATTTATGAATGGTCCCGCAGCTTTTTGGGACCTGTAATGTGTCTCAGAAGACTGAGTGGGGTCAACTTCCGTTCTGATCGCCACAGCGGTCTGAACGTAGGCAGGAGCAGGTACCTGTCAAAACCATGTACCCACTCCCCCTCAAAAAAAAATTAGAGTCCCATAACTTTTTTGTCTGAAGTTCTGCTTTAAGAGCTTACAAAGATCTGTGCACAGGTAGCGATAGATGGGATAGCAAAGGTTACTTTAAAGCTCATCTGTGGTCAGAATTTAAAATCCTATATACATTTCACCGTTCGTGTGACGGCTAATGCCACCTGGAGTGTAGGGTTCCATGGGCTATCCGACATCAGGTCTCAATGGAACAGGTATGCAAGGCTGCAACTTAGTCTTCAATTCACAACTTTGAGTTTTTATAAGGTGGGTGTTACTGTCACTAAGGATGCTGCTTTTGGTCACAGCATCTTGTGGACTGCTCTGCAGCTTTCTTTTGGGCATGATGGTGGTAGCTGTGAGCCCCTCATAAGCAGTGCTTTGGGACGTCCCAGGTAGTCATGTTTATTAAGCCTGCTCTGTGTCCCATGATGTACGAGAAATAAAACTGGATTTTGTACTTGCCTGTAAAATCTGTTTCTTGGAGTACATTGCAGGACACAGAAGCCAGTTTCCTCTTTATTTGGGGGTACTGCTTGCTACAAAACTGATGCTCTCGTTGGGAGGCAGGGTTATAAAAAGGAGGACTTTGCCAGTGTCCATTCACCTATAGGTGGTGCATAACCCAGGTAGTCATGCTTATTGAGCTTACTTTGTGTCCTGTGATGTACTCCAATGAATTTTACAGATAAGTACAAAAATCAAGTTTTTCCGCTTTCTCGCTGTGTCTTTTGCTCTTTCGATCTCAAACCCCCCCCCCCCCCCCCCCCATTATCTTTCCTTCTCTCCCATGTTCTTTTTCTCTGGTGTTCGTTCGCTCTCTCTCTCTCTCTCTCTCTCTCTCTCTCTCGCTCTCTCTCTCTCTCTTTCTCTCTCCCTCTCTCTCTCTCTCTTTCTCTCTCTCTCTCTCTCTCTCTCTCTCTCTCTCTCTCTCTCTCTCTCTCTCTTCTCTCTCTCTCTCTCGCTCTCTCTCTCTTTTCTCTATATATCCTAATTTGCTGTCTTTAATTTTCTTTAATTTTCTTTCTCCTTTCTCCTATACGATGGGAGGACTAAAAGTAACAGAAGACCAATCCTACTTCTAGATTCACTTGCACTGCTTGCTCTTTTTCTGACTGTCAAAAGAAGGGTGTACTGCAGTGATCAGCTTATATCGTTGCCTTTATTAGTGATGTGCAGGGTTCCCCCACCTTGCATAGAGACTGTTAATTTGAAATTGGTACATGTGTTTCAGTGTTATCGGAGTTCCTGAGTAGGCTGTACAGACGCCCCTTTGTCTGGTGCTCTTCTCAGCTTTATGTTGTGTTTTTTTCCCAACCATCTTTGCCAGCGGAGACAGAGGCTGCAGTTGGGACAGCCCCCCTGCCCTGATACCACTAAATGACAGTCACTCATGTGCTGTCCTGTATTAGGGAGGTCTTTGTCAGAAGCCACAGTCCAACAGGAGGGGAGCTGCAGGCCAGTGGTTAAGAACCACTATGGTAAATGGCATTAGGAGTTTACTTAAATGCTGAATTTGTTGCCTGGTATTTTTTTATAGTCATGAAAAATAGATTATTAATAGTGTTGATATGTGTACTACCCTTTTAAAAATGCAGAATACTGGCAGCTGAAATCTTTGTGAGCAAATGGGTTATTTGCCAATAAGTCTCAACTGAAAAATAAACTTACAAAATGTCATAGTTTACATTGTCAAAAAAACCCTTAATATATAGATCAGGAAAAAAAAAAAAAAAAATCAGTACATATCTGCAAAATGCACTTTGCTTTAAAGTGCACTTATCCTTTAAGCTCAAGAACACACTAGAATGGACTAGTAGGACACCCATGATCTGCACGCGTTTATTGCACGCATTCAGATCGCACTGCTCCTGCAATCTGGCGCAGGTGTCAGTGCAATCTTAACGACTCCCCAAACGCAGGTCACAAATGCAGTGTGTTTCCTTGCACTGGATCACATGGCACAAAACGACCATGCGATCCGGTTGCAGTGTGTTTCCAAAATTGGTGCATGCACTACTTTGGTGTGATGCATTGTGATTTAAGCCCATTCAAATTTAAAGTGGAAGTAAACTCACTTTTGTATCTTTTACCTACAGGTAAGCGTACAATAAAGCTTACCTGTAGGTAGAATATCTCCTAAACGTGCACCGTTTAGGAGATATTTGCTCTTTTTTGTCTGCTGGCACAAGCGCTCTGAAGGAATGGCATTTCCGTACCGTTCCTTCAGAACAATGTGCCGTGTCCCAAGGCTCCCGCAAACATGCATGGGAGTGATGTCAATGCTGCTCGGCCAGTCAGGCGGCAGGACTCACGAACCCGAAAGGAAGACTAGGTGAAGATGGAAGCCTCTGAGGCAGGGGCACTGCACCGCTGGAAGGCTTAGTTTTAAGGTAAGTCCTGCATAATGTGCTAGTATGCGATGCATACTTGCACATTATGACATTATCTCCAGGGGATTTTTTTGTTTTCTAAAGCTGTGGTTTACTATTGCTTTAATGGGATCAAATTGCACCGCACTGAACCAAGGTCAAATCGTATTTTATTTATTTTGGTTTTAGTTTAAAACAAACAGATAAACCATAAAACAATTAAAGGGAAAGAATAAGACTATGGTGGCGCAACCACTGGCCGACCCAAGTACAAGCAACCCATAACGTAATATAATGATTGTTTACCAAACACGTTGGGTTCCACATAAAATACAAATCAAATTTCCCTTTTTGTTTTGTGGGCAGGTATTTCATATGATTGGTCCAGAGTAATCAGTGCTGTCCACAAATCTGCTCTAACAAATCGGGAAGCCCTTGCCACAGCTAATAGAGTTCAGTTTCTTGTTTGTCAGTTTTATTGCAAGTAATGGGAAATTTCCATCATTACTAGAACTACTTTGTTGAACATGGTCTATATAATGGTTTCTTGGTAACTGCCTCTAAACAAACTTAGTCAGCGCTCAACAGCCAAGGTATTAAGCATTTTTGTGTCTTCCATACGAAGCACATGTGCTGCTTTTACATTTTGGCAGCTTGCATGCTGTGTGATCTTATAGGTTACCCCTTGGCGGTCAGGAAGGGAAACAAAGGCTTGTGTTATGAAACCTGTCCCCAGTGTTTGGGCAGACATTCACAGGGTGCTCTGACTTTAATAATGTCAAAATTGCAAAGCCATTGGGTTTTGGGCTTAGTGGTGTGATGTACCAGTAATAAAAGGCTCTTGTATGCTGCACAGATTGGTAACCTCTCCTCATTAATATTGTGCTTACTCTAAGCATCTTACACAAAATTAGCAAATGGTTGTGTCTGGCCAATGAAGTGATGTAATATCAAAAAAGGGGACACACGGTGTACAAGAATACTGACATTAAGAACTGTCTGATCTTGGCATAGAGGAATAACTGGGCTATCAATACTCTATATTGTTGAGTTGTTTCACTTGTCTGTGCTGACTTTAGTTTTCCATGTTAATTGTTGATTTATCTAGTTCTGACTTAAAGCAGTGACTATTTATTTTAAAGCAAAGTTATCTTGGAGTTGAAGAAAAGGAAGTGACACTGTTAAAATGCCTTAAAGTATAGCTAAAGGCAAACTTTTTTTTTTTTTTTTTTTTTTTTTTTTTTTTTTCACTTTAGATAGTGGAGAAGGATTAGAAAGCTTGTCAGTTTTTATTGCTGTCTGTGCCCCTGATATGGAACTTTGCCCTTTCTATTTTTCCTGTTTACCATTATCATTGAAAGTGAAAGAAAATCACACATTTTGGGTTGTCCCCAGAAAAGTAATAGAGGGAAAACCTTCCAATGAGGACACTAGTTCTGGTGACCTGAGGGTCGCCAAGGTATTCCCTTAATTTTCAGGCATTTTGTATCACTTTCTGTTCTGCTATGGGACATTAAGTTAAGGGAAATCTCCACAATAGGATGGCAAAAAAAAAAAAAAAAAAAATCTGATGGGCTATAACCCTCCCTTCCTCTATCCAAAACGACAAAAAAAGTTTTGCTTATAGTTCTACTTTAATTGTACATCACAGGATACAGGAGAGTTACTTTTTGGACCATTGGGTTATCCTTCACTTGCATGCTAGTGAACACTAACAAAAAGCAAGGTTTGGCTCGGCCCTGCATAATATTTTCTACTCCAAGCATTGCCTCATGTGTTTGTTTGTTTTTTTGTAGTGTCTATATGTGGTGGATTTGTCACTCTCAGCTGAGAGAGTATTGCTCACTGAGGTGCACTCTATCTTCTAAAACCCGCATTTGGCTGATGAGCCTCAATTCTCTTCCCAAGCCCCGTTGGAAGAATGGGCAAGCAAGATACTTCTTGTACTGGATCTTACATATGGTGCTCACCTTGACAGGTGGTTGCATTGTGGTTGAAGGTCGTCCCCTTACAGTGCTGGTTCTTGCCTTGTGCTAAAGGGTGGCAGTTTTCTTCATAATCCTTCTAGGCCAGGGGTGGCCAACCTGCGGCTCTCCAGCTGCTGCAGGACTACAAGTTCCATCATGCCTCTGCAAGTCAGTAACTTCCCATCTTTGCAATGCCTCATGGGAAATGTAGTTCCACAACAGCTGGAGAGCCACAGGTTAGCCACCCCTGTTCTAGGCTCTTGCTGCCTTTCCTGTGCCAGTTTTTGCGGTGATTAGGGCTGGGCATGTACACAGCATCCAGCTTGAGTGTGAGAAGACCACGGGTCAGAGCCCAGGCACATGTGTTGGCACTTTGCTGGATCTGTGCTTTTTTTTTTGGGACACCAACTAGGTTCCACGCACTCTATGCTACTCCACAAATAGCAGCACATGCCCCATTGCAACAGCAGGATCTCTGACCTCCAGATGGTGGGAGCCACCCCTCCCTCATATAATCAGGTACTATGAGTATCATATCCTTAACGAGCATAGTGACTATAATGGATCTGAATCAAGGGGGACAGGTACATGGGGGACCTAATTCCTGTGTTATTTTTTGACAGTCTTCCTTCCACTGTCTTGTTTTTGGGGCAATAGACCTTGCTCTTGATGTGGCATCTGGTTTCTCACGGACTCCTTTTTGCTCTCCTTCCTAAGGGACCTTTGTGTGCAGGGAGGAATTTTCTGTTTCCCTCACCACGATGCTGGAGCAATTAGACATCCACAGAAATTTATGATGCAACAGTCTAGGTCTCTTTCACTACAGGAACTAAATTGTAAGTTTCCCCTCCCCACCCCTTGTTGTGTTGGGAGGAGGAAGTATCTGAGGAAGCACATGGTTCTGATACAGAAGATTCCTCAGAGGCGGACACTCCGGCATTCAGCATTTCCCCAGCACAAAGATCTACATTGGGGTGGTCCATACAAATCTGAAGCTGTACAAGGGGTGGCTTAAATTGTACTACAAGTACACTCTCTGTTGACTGCATGGGGCCTCAACCTGGTGGTGTTAAAGATTAAAGATTGTCTTTCTTGTGGTGATCACTTCGATCAGGATGGTTTCCAAACTTGCAGCCTTATCCTGTAAAGAACCTTTTCTTATTCTCCTCCAGGACAAGGTTGTTTAAGGCCTTGGAACAGCTTTCACCCTAAGGTGGTTTCGACATTTAATTTGAATCAGGATATAGTGTTGCTTTCCTTTGTCGGCTCCTAAGCAGATTGTTCTCCACTGCCTGAAAGCAGTGAGGATCTGGTAAGTTTATCTTGCAGTTACAGTTTCACTTTCCCTGTCTGATTTTCTCTTTTTGTTGCCTGAGGGTCCCTGAAAGGGACAGGCTGACTCTCAGTCCACACTTGACAAGGTGAGTTATTGCTCAGTTGTTCGACCTGAGGGGGAAGTTTTCTCCCATTCTAGTGATGGCTCACTGCATTAGAATTGTTAGTGCTTCCTGGACTTTCCAGCATCAGGCTTTGGTTTCTCAGGTCTCTAAAACCACCACCTGGTCTTCTGCACACATGTTCGCTAAATTTTACCTGTGAATATTCAGGACTTTGTTCTTGTGAAGTTGTTTTCTTGGTGGGCCTCTTGGCTATTGATTGCTGTTGCCTGACCCTCATGGGATTGTTTTTGAACATCCTAATGGTCTAAGAATTAACTCTCCTGTGTTATGTGATGTACAATTATAAAAAAAAAAAGGATTTTAACTTTCTGGGAAAATCACTTTCTAGGAGTAGATCACAAAGCATTGGTCTTTTCCCACTTGCAGGGCTGAGTCAAGCTTTACTATTTGCCAGTGTCCACTCACCTGGAGGTAAAGCATAGCCCAAAGTGTCTACGAATTAACTCTCATGTGTCCAGTGATGTACACCAAGAGTGATTTTTACAAGTAAGTAAAAAATCCTGTTCGATCTCCTGCATGGTGCTCTAATCTGCTACAGTAATCTGCTTGAGAGACCCAAAAGTCAAGGTATGGTATGCACCAGTTCACTCCCTGCGTCACGTAATCCTGCCTCTCCTATAATGTCCTCCTCTGTCTGCATGACCAGTCCCCAGGCTCAGGCACTGACGTGGGGCCTTTGGGACATGCCTAACAATACGTAAAAATCCACTTTCAGAAAAGATAGAAACTTTGGAGCTGCAGACCAGAATACCATGCAAAGGAACTGCACAAATGAAGTGTGCCTACAGGGTTAACTTTCTATATTGCTGTATTTATAATCTTGCTTAAAAGGAAAAGTGGGGATGGTTTTCTTCTACTGCAGATCAGTGGTATTAAAAAAGAGTGTCTTATTTTCTGTCAATAAAATCACAATGTAGAGCTATTCTCACAGCTATTAAACACCTTGTACATCCCATTGTAATATATCACTAGTGCCAAATTTGATGAATACCACTTTATCACTTTTTTTTTATTTTTTTAAATCTTAAGCAAGAAAAACGAATATTCACAAACTTTCACCGTCAGTTGTTCTGTTGGATTGACAAGTGGATTGACCTAACAATGGAAGACATAAGAAGGATGGAGGATGAAACACAGAAGGAATTAGAAGCAGTAAGAATCTTATTTGCACTAGTAACTTGGTGTTTCATAACTGTAAAGTAATATAGTACAAAATGTACTCTACAACACTGGCATTATAGGTAGAGGTAGAAGCTTCTTTTCATGGGTCGCACTCCATTGGTATACTTTGCCTTTTGAAGCTTTCGATTTTTTTTTTTTTTTTTTATTTATTTTGCATGCTCATAAGGATTAGGTGCATTGCTCTAAATGTTTGAAGAGGAGCGGTTTGATTGTGTTCTCACTCCCCTGAATGGCCCTGTTTAGCCTTCTAACAAGCAGCCTGTGTGCGGCCATTGCTATGCTCTTCTGAAGTCAGATTGCCTGGCTTGTCATGCTGTATTAGCAAACTTGTTCTGGGTCAGTGACTCAAGTATTAAAACCAGAGGTAGCCATATAACTAGTATTCTTGGAAGGGGGTTAGGAATGGCAACCCTCATGTTTGCCATGGTTGACATGTTAGCAAATGTTTTTCTCACCCAGAAACTTTGATTTGTAACAGGATGTTGCTGAGTTTATCCGAGACTGGTAATGAGTTTCATTTCCCACATGCTGGCCAACTGGTTTGATAGAGAGGACCAAGCATAGGAAGTTGAATTTTATTCTTTGTTACTTCTGGCTGCTGCTGTTCACACTAAAATTCAAAGAACATTTTGGGAGATGATTTCAATACTTCATTACTGAGCTTTCCAGTAATTTCATGCTGAGTAGGAGCTTTTGCACACACATGGAATATTTGGATTGTTCGCAGTAGTAGAACATTTTTTCAGAACTTTAGTGGGGGCTTGCTATATGGGTTTGTTATGGCTCATTTTTTGTAAAGCCTAATCTTTTGGTCTACAACCTTCTCCCAATAGAAGCTTACAGGCTGACATTATGGACTGGCACGGAGCATTAGCAGGTGGAATAGCACCTTTAGCATAACTGAAATAAACCACAGATCATAAAGGACCTTTGTTTTCTACCAAAAAATATATATGCCCTGTTCACATCATACAGTGGTGTGGTGGTAATGCAGAAAAAAACAGCTCAATGTACATGGTGTGAACCGGTTGTCCTCTAATTAATCCCCCCTCCCTCCTCCCTGGGAGTGCACCCCACCTTGCCTTAATCCCCGATCTAGCAGTCTTTCCTCCGATGTGGTGCCGGCTGGCTTCTCTTCATGCTGTGTTAGGGTGCTCTTGGCCCATTCATTCACATGGGTAGAATATAGAAATGAATGTGGCTACAGCGAGCATGAGTAGTATGAAGAGCTGCCATCCAAAACCTTGTTGGAGGAAGTATGGCTATTGGTGTCACATAGAGGCCTGATAAGAGTGTCATGCATAACCCTGTGTTTCCTTTATGTATTTATTTTCTGCTTGCAACATAATTAATAAGGTTTCAGCAAAAGTTTTGTTTTTATTGAGTCAATCCTCACAGCTTTTGCACTCTAAATGAAGTGGAAAGAAAAGCAAACCCTCTAGTTAACCAATTTTGCTGCATAAAAGGAAAAAATCCTCTGTGACCCAACAGTAACAGTTGTGTCTATTCCCTGCATCAAAAATTTGTTCCATTGTCTTTTAGCAATTATGCTAATTTTGGAAGGCCTTTTTTTTTTGTGATTAAGCTTAAATGTCTCAGTATTTTTTTTTTTTTTTAGTAGTTTTTAATTTTATTTTACATTTAGATACGTAAGAAGGGTGCCGTTCGAGGCACATCTGCTGCAGATGCCTAAGAAAGCCTGCTCTTTAGTCTCAGAGGCAGTATTAAGGTGTGTAAGTAGCGGGCTAAAAAATCAGGTGATGGACCTTTATTTTCTGTGATAACCTGCATCCTATTGTGCAGGTTACATCCTGTCCTAATTTTCACAAACTGCACACTTCTGTGGAACCTTATATCTGCCTGCCTTACTACACTCTTTTCACATTACTTAACTGTTTGCTTTCAGTAACGTTGAAGATCCTTGAGGGTGTTACATATCTTGGTGTAGCTCACACTATAAAATGTACAGATTACACTTCAAAAATGTGATGGTCATTGAACTGGACCTTAAACCCAAATGCAAGGTCCACTTATTAAAGGGGAACTTCACCCAGTTTTGAATAAAAGTCAGCAGCCACAAGTGCTTTAGCTGCTGAGTTTTATGAAAAATGCGTACTTGCCAGCGCAATAAGTCAATGCTGTCTTCCTACACCCTGAAGTCTCCACAGCTGACTCCGTTCCTGTGCAGTCATTTTGAATTCAGGAGCTGTCTGTGACTTCCTGATCAGCCAGAGCTGGCCCTCTACTGCACATGCAAAAGATTTTCATACTGGAGGAGACTGTCCCCAAGCCTCCTAGGCCTGAAGAATTGAGAACAAGTACCTGCACGAAAGGGCACTTGCTACTCAAATGTATACACGGAAGACCCAGGATTATGCAATCTGTATAGGTCGGTTTTAAATACTGGCCCATCTCCCTGTGCCAAATGCTAACAAAAAAAAAAAGGAAAGGTTAAAAACATACTTGGCTTACGCTTGGCTCCTGCACTGCAGTGGGCGATGTCACAATTATTTTTGTGAAATTCTGGAAATGCTGAGGGTTTCCAAAAAGATGCTGGAGCATCTTCTCTTGAGATATGGGAACCTCATGATTCTCAGGATCTCATGAAAGTATAATGATGTCCCAGTGCAGAAGCCATGCATAAGGTAAGTTGATTTGTAATATGTGTGTTTGTGTACATGTATATATGTGTGTGTGTGTGTGTGTGTGTGTGTGTGTGTGTGTATATATATATTATATATAATATATATATAATTTTTATTTTCTTTTTAGATTTGGCATAGGAGTGCAGGCCAAGATTTAATAAATAGATCTTGTAATTTGGGTTCAAGGTGCACTTTGTGGGGTGAACAAAACATTATCAAATAGATTTATACTCTAACTGCTAGTATGTTTCTTGGCATGTACATGATTACTTTGATATTCGGCTGTTCTCCAAATCAATCATACAAATACTTATGAGTTACTATTTCTTCATCATATAGTTATCACCATAGATTTCTCTTGTCTGTCAAAATGTATGGTAATTTTGCTAATTGTCCTTTGTCTAGCTAAATCTGAACAGCATGCTCACACGCCAGTGTTTTCTATCAGACCCCAATCATGATCCTACCTGGACTTTTTCTAGGTAGGATCACCAGTTCATAAATTGAGAACATTTTATAAGGATGACAGTAGTTGGTATATAGCGAAAACTTGCTGTGTATTGTCTACCTCAGACAAAATAATTTCTAGTGAAACTTTTTCAACAAGTGTATCCAAAGAGGGGTTTTCTGCTATGTATGATTGAACCAAAGTGCTTATATAGTTTTTTCACTAAAGTGTTGCACGTAACGCTTTCTTTTTTTTAGACAATAATTTGACAGCTAGATGTCAGACAACATTGTATCAAATGCGACCAGTAATGTTATGCTGTTTTTGCTAAAGTCGGCCACTGAGCTGAAGCTGCTGTCTAGCATGATGCTTTCTTTGTCTGGAATGACGCTTCCTTTGTTCAACATTTGTTAAGGCCCCTTTCACATGTGCAATCCGTTCAGGTCTGCCTGTCAATTTTTCAGGTGGACCTGATCAGATAGTCTATGTATTCCTATGGACCAGTTGGAGTAAACAGACTTGTGTCCATTTACACCTGCCTACCTCCAATCCGATCTGCTAAAAACAATCAGTTTCCCTGCGTCTGGGTGGATCAGATAGGAGGACAGTTGGGTTTAAATGGACAAATGGTCTGTTTACACCTGACTGTCCATACAGCAGAGCGGGATGTATCCTTGTCTGCACCGTATAGGCGGAGCGAACACTGACATCTGCTACTCTGCTTAGCGGGGGATCATTGGACAGATTACCTGATGAGCAAAGCAGATTGCGCCTTGTGTGAAAGATGCCTAAAGCAAATTTTTTTTTTCTTTGTTTTTTTTCTATTTTTGCTTGCTGGGGCATGCATTTTGATCTTTGTATCTTTTAAATTCAACTGTACTTTATGCCATACTAGTTTTTTCACATATTTCCATACTAATTCTTTTTTTTTTTTTTTCACTCAAATATCTCCATCACATTAACTGGCTTGTTTGTTATGGAGCTTGATTTCATTAACCTTTCCTATTTGTCCCTGAACACAGCTACGCAACCAAGGTCAAGTAAGAGGAACAAGTGCTGCCCATGATGAATGAAGATGGACCCGACCAAATCGCATGCAGATTTATTTTTCCTTTCTACCTGTGTTTTTATATATCTATAAGTTTGTAGCTATATAAACATGTTCTGAACATTAACTTATGTGTACTGTACCTGACATGGGCAAAAACAAATTGTAAAGGTGAATGTGTACTGTACATAAAGTTTACAAACCTTTCTGAATGTCACTAAAATTGTAAAATTGTGGGCTTCTGACACCCAGATAATATTTTTGTACTATATGTTTTGCTTTTAATATTTTGTTTTAGCGTCATAAAAAAATACATAATGTTCAATGGTTGTTTTACTATTTAAACACTTTTCCACTTAGTGGAAGGGGTATGATGAGTGTATTGCCTGACTATCGATCACAGCTGTCACCTTCTGGTTCCCCTTGATCCACTGATTTATGCCTCATACAAATTACCTCCAGGTCCCATCAGGCCTATGGCACTCAATAGGAAGTCTCCAACACCTAGGTAAAGGGATTTGCAAGACTTTGGAATCTAGACATATTGACCAGTGGATTGGTGGGTAAGGTTGCACAGGTGATTGGAACTGACACAGTACCCTCACCTCACCCCTTGCACTCATGTTCATTCAGAGGACATAAATGCTGCTGCTATGACTGTCGTGTAGGGCTTCTTTTGTCCTTTACTGAGTATATATAATATTTGAAATTGCACTGATGGTGACAGTCTTTTCTAGCAACAAATGGGATGCCTTTTTGAGTGCTGACCCATTATCCATGAAAATGGAAGCCTGTTCACATCCATGGACTTCTCTGATGTACCTCATGACCAAACACTTGGTTGCTGCCGGGAATTGCTAAACTGTGGATAAATTGGTTTCAGCATACAAAATGACTGTGTCTCTTGTTACTAGAACAGGGGAGTTATTTCATCAGTAATTTTTTTAAATGTCCAATTAGTCCTTGCACAGACATGCAAGGTTTTCTTTTATTGTTTAGTCTCTTTTGATAGCACCAAAGTTGTATCTAGACCCTAACAGATATCCATATATCTGATGAATGTTTGAATCCAAATCTATCCTTAGATTGTAACTAAGGTCCTCTCCTCTCTGTCAAATTATGTTTTATGGCTTGCTCAAATGTACTTCAGGCTGTCCTGTAGGTAGGTAAATCTTTTGTTTTCTATGTTCTATGCAGAACAGGGTTTGCTTGTGATCTCAACCAATTTTCTGTTTTGGTATCCTTTTTTGAACTAAGAGCAAAAGAGAAAAAGCTGTAGCCCAGAGGTTGAATGCTTCTTTGTGTATGGATGAGGTTGTGTGCATAACCGTATTTTTGCCCCGTCTTTTTTTTTTTTTTATTTTAGTTTTGGAAATAAGCAGAAGCCTAAAGCAGAATATTACATAGAAAAAATATTTCTCTGTGTTGAGCAATTCCTGGGCAGAGAAGGGATTGAATAACTAGGACATAACCGTCTACAAGAACTGCGATTGTGGATAACTGATGTTTTGTCTGAATGTGTTGCTGCTTTACATCTGTCTGATTTTCAAACATTGCCTGAACATGGAGGTAAAGATGCTTGCAAGCCCACATCCTTTCCCCCCTTCTGTCTCTAGTATGAAAGTTTTTTGTGAACAATGGAATGACGTTGCTCATTTCAGATGTTGCAGTTTGGAAACTATGCAAGCTGTTAATTTCTGTATTATTTATGCTTTAGAGATTTCTGATCTTTTATGTTAAAAAATGCACATAAATTGATATAAATAAAAGAGAGCGTTATATATAGTGTGTAATAAATCCAGGAGTGAATGAATGATAGCATAATGTAATGTTCAGTTGTAGATACTGCATACATGTCATCAGAATGGGTTTTTTGTTTCTTTTTTTAATGGAGCATGTTAAATGCTTAATAGTTGTTATGCTTATTAAATTTAAATCGAAGGGAAAATATTTTAGGAATGATGGTAAAACTTTTGTACAAGACAAAAAGATAGCAGTAGTAAAGATCAAAACCTTAAAAAAAAAATGTATCTGCTCCGAATACAACCTGCCTTTATTCTCCCGTATCTGTTCATATTGAAACTGACATTTGGTCTGGCCACATCTTGTAGTTCCCCTTCATCCTGAAAGAACTGTTTTCTTCCACAAGTTGTTTACTGTGCTAACTTAAAGCAGATATTCACTCTGTCCCCCCCCCCCCCCCCCCCCCAATATTTTTTTTAATGACCCCTGCCTACCTCAAGGTGAGTTAGCACATTTTAGATACTCGCCCACCAAGCGGATCCAGTGCTGTCAAGCTGAGAACTTCTGGCAGCGCTCGGTCCCACACCGCCATGTTTTTCTGTGATGTCATCAATTAGGCTGTCAACTGTTTCTGAGTTCAGCCGGCACGCCTTCCAATAACATGCCAATAGGCCTCTCTTTCCTGAATGAAATGCTATGTCTTCTGGGATGTGTGACGTGCATATCCCAAGAGGCAAATGGAGGAAAGTGCACGTTGTTCACCTAGGCGAATCATGTGTGCTGGGGTGGGCACTTTTCCCTAAATCTAAATAAAGAAAAAAAAAAAACTTGTAATACTTATTGAGGGGGGTGCGGAGGGATGATGTCTTGAAGGGTGAAGATCCGATTTAAAATGTACACAATGCTGGATTACTACATAGTATCCCTCTCCCATTTTAGTAATACTTGGACCCAAAATGGCTGAATTTACATACAGGAATGTTCTATATACAATATTATGGTCGAAAGCTCAATTTAACAAACTGCTGGACAGGTTTCCAATGGCTTTTCATTTTAAGCAAGGGGAAAGTTCTGTATATTTTTTTTTTTAAACGCATTAGTTGCCTGTCTCATAGGTTTTTTTTTTTTTTTTTTTTTTTTTTTTTGCATCTGGACTAAGTAGAGTAGAAATAATCATCTCCTGTATTAATATGTAGAGTGATCAGAAGCACTGGTCTTAATTTGACCTGGAACACCCACCCTTTACTTACTACAAGACATGTGTGTAGCGATCTGATTATTACATGGCTGCAGTTGCCATAGTGAATGTCATCTAGGACATCTCTATGCTTGTTTCAGTATACATCTGTGTCTGGAAATCCAAATCTCACACAAACACAGTTTTGCACTACCTTCAGCATTTCAAGACACATTATTGTAAAGTAAAACAAGTAGAAGAGAGATCACAGCTCAGTGTTAAGTCACCACTGCTTACTGCACCTATGCTGTAAAGATAATGCTATAAATATGCAAGTATTCCCCAAATTGGGTTAAGTGCACACATGCAGCTTTCAGTTGGCCTCTGCAACTCTTTTTTTCTATATCTCTGCTTAGAACAGGGTACATTGAGTTGATTCAGTGGCACTATCCGTTTTCTCTGTGAAGTGCATTCATAGTATAGTTAGGTTCCTGGCTTCAGTAAGAAAAGAAATCAGGTGAATGAATTCTATTGTCTTGAGCCTGTTACTACTCTAAAAAAAAAAAAAAAAAGTTTAATGAATCCTACCGGATGCCTGAGTGTAGCTACATTTTGACACCAGGTGCTCAAAGCAAAGCAACAAGACACACTGAATAATGCCCATGTTCACTTAGCCTGTTTTACCTTGTATGCCTGTTAAAAGAATCTAGATCATTCTTTAGGTATGTCATATGATCCAGACTTTTTTTCATTTTGTTCAGGATGAGACTAAGAGTCAGACCTAAAATGTTGCAAAGATTTAATCTGTCAAGATTGTAAAATTCAGGGGAACTGCTACTGAATGTAAAATATCTAGATTTGCAAAATGATGTATGTACATCAATAAATGTAAGTAACCAATAAATTTGATCACTGAATAGAATTTTGTTTGAGTTCTTTTGTTTGTGCCAATGAAGTGTGTGTGTAAACCATATCTATTTTGTACCTAAAGGATACGTTCACTTTACCACAAATGATAAATGTACACTTTTTGAAGGTAATAAAAAACTTGCATTTATTATTTTTTATTTTAGGAGCCTGTAAAGCATTGCACTGCTTACTTGCCATGCAGGACTCCTGCACACTGTCAGTGTATCTGCTTGCTCCTACATCCCATATGAGCAAGCTGATGCTTGCTGATAGGAGGACTCAATGAACTACCATGGTGCTCACAGCTCTGTGGTAGTTCATTGAGGACTACAAGCCAACAGCCGCTAAGGCTGTCGGGACTTAAAGTCCATTCACAGAACACTGTGAATGAATTACAAGGTCATGCGAGCAGAGCCCTGCACGGCACACTGTTTTTGAAAACTGACAGCTACTACGAGGAACTTCTTCCCATACTTCTGTCACATGGGGAAGGGGGCAGCAGGTGGCTGCAAGATCAGGAACAAATTACACGTTCCACCTTAAAAAAAAAAAAAAAGGGGTGGAACATTCAACATGTTCCCAAAGGTGAACTTATCCTTTTAAAGAGTTATGATACTTGCTTAAAGACCTTACACTTTGAAATGTCTGATTATATATGAGCATTGTGTACAGCAAGCTTTTGTAAAGGAGTTGTGGAAGGAAACTAGACCACCTGGAGGAAATTTACACAAACTTTTTGGAGACTGTTCCTACTGCTACAAGGGAAAGTGAGCTGAGAGCTGAGTGCTAACTTAGAACACAAGAATGCGGTCGAGCAACATGCGAGCCATGCATGTTTCCCACACCGCATTCAAAACTCACTGCCGTTGTGATCTGCAGCAGGTGTTAATACCGTAAATGCAGGTTGAAAACACACTTTGTTTGCCTGCACCAAGTTGCATGGTACTAAACTACCTACTGCACTACATTGGTGCGATGCAGTGTAATTGGTGCCTGTTCAAAATGAATGGTCTCAAATCGCACTGCACTGAATCGCATATGAGTTGCACAGGAATGTGGCGCTCATTCTTGTGCAATTCACAGATGTTTCATACTGTGAACTCAGGCCTAGGCCTCTTTCACATGAAGGGTCCGATCAGGTCTGCCTGTCAGTTTTTCAGGCGTACCTGATCGGACCTTCCATTCACCCCTATGGA